CCCAAAATCCTGAGAGGAGACTGGAAGAAAAGGAATCATGGTGTGGCCATCCACACTGCTAATTATCAGGGAAATGCGAGTGAAAAACCACAGGGAGGCATTGCCTCACCCCAGTTAGAATGGTTATTTCCCAAAACTGAAGACTAGGGCCAGCAGGTGGCGTGGTAGTTGAGGTGCTGGACTCCCACATGGCTGAGCATAGTTCAAGTCCCAGACCTGGAGGTTTGCTTTCTCACTTTCTCTCTCTCTCTTGCTCGCTTGCTCTCTGTCTCTTTCTGTTGAGCACATGAACCCTGTAGCAAATTTAATAATAACAAAAATAAATAAAATTAGGGACCAGCAGTTAGCGTAATGGCTATGTCGCTGGACTCCCATGTAGTCGACCGCAGTTCACTTCCCGGACCTGGTGGCTTAAATCTCACGCCGGGTGCATGTGCGTGCATGCCCAAGATCCCGAGAGGAGAACAGAGGAGAAGGGATTGCGGTGTGGCCGTCCTCTCGGGGGGTGATTTCTCTCTTTCTGTCTCTCTGTCTGTCTGGTGAGCGCATGTGCCCTATAGCAAAAAAAAAAAAAACTCTCCAAAAAAAAAAATCTACAATGATTATACAAAGGGACTTCAAAAACTTTTTGGAAAAATAGAATTTAAGTATGAGTTTATTTTGATGTGAAAATATTTGAAATACACATAATAATATGCATTTTTCATAAACTTTTTTCTTTTTTCTTTTGTTGCCAGAAGGCACATCATCTCACCAAAGAGAGAGCCAGAGACAAAGCACTCCCTAATGGGATGTGGTCACACATAGTCCCTCCTCCATTTCTCCACTGTCAGGATTTGAGACACTCACGCATATGTACCCGACATGCTTTTCAAATTGCCAGAGCCAAGACTCGAAGCTCAATGGGATCCAGCGTCCACAACCACTGTGCAATGGGGCCGGCCTGTGACCTTTTTTACTTTTTAAGTTTATTTTTTTCTATGAGACAAAGTGAGACAGAGAGAGGCCCCCCAGAGTGGTGCAGTGGTCCACTCCCAGCTTTCAGCCAGCCCTGGAGCATGAGTAGGCGCGTGCCCAGTGCACGTAGGGAGGCCTCTGGACTTGAACCAAGAACCTTCCCATGTGGGATTGCCTCACCGAGCATCAGTTTACTGCTATACCATCATCTGGCTCCTCTCCATGAACTTTTTGAAGCCTCCCCCCCTTGCATGTCAATTAAACAATTATGTTTTTTAGGGCCAGGTCCATGGCCCAGTGGCTAAGGCAACTGGACCCCACTTGGCTGACTGCACAATCAGGTCTTGGGCCTGGTCCTTGAGAAACACACCGGGCACAGGTAGGTACATGCCCAAATCCCAGCAAGAAGACAGATTGCAGCATGACCATTGCCCATGGGAGGTGCCTTCTTCTCTCCTTCTCACTGTCTCTCCCAGACAAGCACGTGTGCCCTCTAGCACACATACAAAAAATAAAACTTTAAGAAGCAGATACAATACATGACGCCATGGTCTTCTGGCATTTAACCAAACCTAAGGCCTGGTCCACCTCCTTCCTGGGGACTGTTTGTAACTGCCACAGTACGCTCAGGCGGAGCCCAGTGGTCATGCTAAGCCAGGAAGGCAAAGATCAGCATTTGGGGCAGAGGAATGGCTGGACATGGGGTCAGGGTGCCAGAAAGGAGGGATCTGTGCAGAAGGGGGACCCACAATCTGGGGTGGGGGCGCTCTACTGCAAGGTCTTGATTGAGGACTGGGTTGCACATGCATGAGTGAAGATGACCCCAGGCTGCCCGGAGGGCACCTGCTGCAGATTGGAAGTGAAATGGAACAGAGAAGTGTGGCAGCGCCTGCCTGGAGAGGCCTCGCACAGCATCGGCTACCTGCGGCTGACAGCGGAGGCACAGGAGCACAGACTGCACCCTAGAAGAAGGTGTCCTCTAGAGTTGCCTTAAGAAAACCTAGCCCAGGGACCAGCAGTTAGTGTAATGGCTATGTCGCTGGACTCCCTCGTAGTCGACCATGGTTCATGTCCCGGACCCGGTGGCTTAAAACTCACGCTGGG